GTCCTTTTCTGTCTTCCCTTAACTCTGATGTCAGTCCAGTTTTACAACAGCGGCCCTATGCAATATTTGTCCTTTTGTGACTGAGATATTTCACTCAGCATAATGTCCTCCAGGGTAATCCATTTTGCATAGTATTTCACGAGTTCCTTGTTTTTCAGTGCAGCATAGTATTCCATTGTGTGAATATACCAGAACTTCTCTATCCATTCATTTGTTGATGGGCACTTGGGTTGTTTCCAGCTCTTTGCTACTGCGAATAAGCCACAATAAACATGAGTGTTCAGTTTTGGTTTCTTTAGGGTAAATTCCCAGTAGTGGAATTACTGGGTCAAATGTTATTTCTATTTGCAACTTCTTGAGAAAGTGCCATACCGCCTTCCACAGTGGTTGCACATTTTACACTCCCACCAACAGTGAATAAGGGTTCCAGTTTCTCTGCAACCTCGCCAGAATTTGATGTTTGCTGTTCTGTTAAATTTTGCTATTCTTACTGGGGCCAAACTAACTTTTTAAACAAACAAACAAGCAAGCAAACAAACAAACAAACATTGGTTTCCAGACAAATTTCATAGATCTTGCTTTTTACACTATCCTTCATTCTCAACGGGCTTATTTTTAACATTTTAACTGGTATGGGTTGTTTTGCTTTATCACTTCTTTTCCTTTTTCAGACAAACGAAAAGATACCAGAAGATGACAACTAATGGTCCCATGTGGAGTTTAACATAAGACTGAACTATACTAGCAAGATCTTCTTTCTGATATGGAAGTTACAGGTATGAATTTCGGGTGCTCCCTATTTTAAGCCGTTTCTCGGAGCTCCTATTTCTTTGGATCATAAATCTAAATTGACTAGGCATTTTCTGGTAGATATTTTCCTTCTTAACTCTGTCTCCAAATATGTACAAACTGTAGGTCAGCTGTTGGGATAAGAACATGAGGACTTTTTGTTGCTGTTAAAGCTGACACCCTAACATTTTAAGTGGCCCTTGTTTTTGCTGTGTGTGGAATGTGTTGTGAGCTAATCTCCACATGCTTCTGGCATAATCAGAGCCAAAGAGTAACCTCTTAGCCACAGATGAGTTGACAGTGATCCCCATCCCAATGACAACCCGTTGAGAGGCATAAAAAAGATGTTATGAAAATCAATAAAGTAATATTCAGAAAGTTATTTCAGCACAACTAATATGTTTATTCTCTTTTTATTTCCAATTTTGATAATTGCCACTAGCACTAATGTTTTCTAAAATGGCATGCATTTGAGACAAGGAATTCAAGGAATTTCAAAGAGCAATAAACGAGAATCTGGGAACTCATATAGTTCTTTTTTACTAGTTTATTCACACTCAAGGATTTGAGAGATGAGGTAAAATGTGTGTGCTCATATGATTTTTAAAGTAAAATTCAGGGGAAAATCATTAACATTTTAAGAAAAGACATACTGACAATAAGAAAAGACAAATGGATACGAAGGATGCAAATAAAAGAGACAGAAAGGCAAAGAACAAATGTTGGTGAGGTTGTGGAGAGTTTGGAAGTCTTATTCATTGAGAGCAGGATTGTTAAATGGTACAGTCACTGTGGAAAGTGGTTTGATGTTTTCTCCAAAAAGTTGCAAATAGAAATTCCATTTGACCCAGCAATTCCACTACTGGGAATATACCCTAAAGAAACAAGAGCCACAATTCTAACAAATGTGTGCACACCCATGTTTACTGCTGCGTTATTCATGATAGCAAAGAGATGGAAGCAATCCAAGTGTCCAACAAACAAATGGACAGAAAAACTATGGTACATTCACACAACAGAATACTATGCAGCATCAAAAGACAATGAATTCATAAAAAATTACACAACATAGGGGAGCCTGGAGGTCATAAGGCTGAGTGAAATATCTCAGTCAAAAAAGGACAAACACTGCATAACATTGCTGTTATAAAATAGGATAGATGGGGAGGGGGTTGGGAAAAAATGGGAAAGCTGTGGATAGATAATGAACACTTCATTAGACAGATGAGGGGAAGAACTGATTGAAAAGGATATGTGATTAGGCATCAGGACTAAGAGGTGTTGCAGGGTTGACTGTTTTGTTTGTTTTTTTTTTTTAAACAAAATTTTAGTAAAAACAAAAATTACAAAAAAACAAGTATAGAAAGGTGGTAGATTCAGATGGTTAAAGAGGAATGAAAAATCAAATTTATTTTACAAGGCAAAATACAGGACCAAAAAAAGCACTTTACAAGATGATACCTTCAAGAACGTTTGCATTTTTAAAGACCTTAACCAGCTGATATGTCAGACCAGCAAAACATGGCCTTGCTGAGAGTCCAGGTGCTGGTCCGCACAGCAGTACAATGGGGTGAAGAAAGTTATCAAGGAAGACTGCCTGGAGAAAGTGATCTCTGAGCTGAATTTTGAAAAATTATTTAAAAAAAATAGGCGAACAAATAACAGTGCAAAAGGGAAGTGAGGAGGAATCAAAGTATAATTTAGGTTTGGTGAGTAGTGTAAGGAAAGAAAGAGGTGGTCTGCAGACAAAGTAACAAAATAAGAGACTAAGTGAAAAGACTGTTTTGGATAAAATTCCACAGATTCAAAATGTTGAGAGCCGTGTTGTTGTTGCTGTGTACCAGCAAGTTGGAACTGACCCATAGCTGGCCCATTGGTGGTTTTTCGGAGGCAGTAATCTGCCCATTTTTCTTCCATAGTGCATCTGGTGGATTTGAACCAAATTGCCTTTGGGATTGCGGCACAGTTTCTTACCACCAGGCCAAATTAGCTTTCAACTTAATGAACTCCAGAGTAGAAGTATATTCCATAGTCTTCAATGACTGGTTTCTTGGAAGTAGACTGCCAGGCCTTTTGTCCAGACAAGTTAGGGTGAAGTTTAACTGGCAACCTCATGGTTAGCAGAGGGTATGATACTTGTTTGCACCACCTAGAAACTCTTGAAAATGAAAGTATAAAAATCACAGAGCCGTCACCTCCGGACTCTGAAGCTTAAATGCATAAGAAAAATACTGTTATTGTTGTTATATACCGTGGAGTTGGGACCAACTTATAGCTAACACTCAAGCGGATTTAGGGAGCTTCGATGGCCTAGAGGTAAGAAGCCGTGCTGCAATATCAAAGGTATGCATTTTGAATTCACCAGCTCCATAGGAGAAGGATGGGTAATCTCCTTCCATGCAACTTACTGCTTCTGAAAAACTGCTGGATGGTTAGCTCTGGGTCTGTTCTGACTTTACAAGACATGGTAATACAACCACCAGTGAGTTTTCAGAGTCTGTAAATCACACAACAGGAGACTGCCCACATCCCCCCCCCAAAGATTTCATTCTTGTACATCTTTGCATTGGCAGCACAACTCCTTTAAACTAAGCCGCCAGAGCTCCTCTAAGATCAATTCCAAGACTGAGCTGGTTCTGAATCATAGCTCCTATACGACAGATCAGAATTGCCTGATAGTGTTTCTAAGGCTTTAATTTTTATAGAAGGAACAGTTTTTACATGAGCAGATGGACACATCTTTACCCTATGGAGTAACTGGATTCCAACTATGGACATCTTTATTAGCTTACCAACATTTAACATATAGCAGCCCATCAGGGGCTCCTTGGCTGAATAAAAGGTTTTGATTTTAGTTTGTTGTTCTGCAAAAGCAATTTTTTAAAAAAAAACAAACCACCAAATTGTGCAGGGTTAGGAGAGGAATAGGGAGCCCTGGTGGTTTAGTGCTATGGAACTGCACTGTCAGTTCAAATTGCATTGAAACTACACAGTGTGACTCCACTAGCTGTCTGGTGGGAGAACATGGACAATCTTCTCCTGTGTTATTTACTGACTCTAAAAAAAGTCTCTGGAAAGGTCGGCTATGAGTTGGTTTTGAATGGACAGAAGAGAAAGGCTGTGATTTGTTGAGAGATTTTGAAAGACTGGAAAAGTCAACAGAAGAAGAAAGTGTCAGAAAAGAAGCCACTGGAAAGCAGAGTCAAGTTCTGTGTAAGAAGGAAAAAGAAGAGAGAAATATACCAAGAAGAACAAGAACAGGAAGCCCATATGGAGATAGAGAAATAAGAACATCAAGGACAAGGCAGCTTCTTCATAAAAGCACATTTCAGAGTTAGAAACGTGTAGCCACACTAACACCTGTCCACATGGAGACTGCACCTAGAATGCCAAATCTGAAGGGACAATTAAAACGTCTAGAAACACTTCAAAAAGTGTACAAATGAGTCTCTTCAGATTAGGCTTACAGCAAACTCTAGGATCCAAATGCATTTTTAATGCACTGTTGATTGCCTTCGAGTTGAGCACCACTCATAATGACCCTATGAACAAAAAGCCTGAAGTCTTTCTAAAACTATCAACATTTTTCAAAGTTCACAGAGTTTCCGACAAGAGTTTAGGATGAGAAAATATATACTGTAAGTCTCTCACTTTGACTGTCAGTTCATTTAAATATGACATTGCTTTATCAGAAACAAGTATGATTTTTGGGACTGTATATGTTGATTCTGTGAGCTGCCATGAGTTGTTGTGAGATGCCATCATCCCATGTCATCCCTGTGATGGTGGGTCTTAAGTCCTTTATGATCCACAGGGCTTTTACATTCTGATTTTTGGATGTAGAGCACCCAAAGTCAAGGCAATGTCATTGCCATAAGGTTGGAACTGATGCATAGCTGACCCTGCAGTAGATTTTCAGAGGCTGTAAATCACACAGGAGGAAGCTGTCCTTCAGTTGGTGGATTCAAACTGCTTGCAGTGTTAAACTCCATTCCCAGTAGTCCACCCGTTTATTTCAGTCTGCAAGACTTGGTTCATCATGTACACTGAGAGATTAGTGGTGGCTAACCACAGGAATCCATCCAGGTCACCTGCACTGAAGGTGGGAATTCTATCACTGAGCCCTCACTGCTCTGATACTACGCATAGCAAGCAGAACATTTCTAAAAATAAAAGCAAGATTTGGTCAATTAGTCAACTCTTCTTACTACTGTCTGAGTCTGAGAAGAAATTTGAACCTTTTTATTTAAATGAGCATATTTTTCTCAGCCATACCTAGATTTATACAATAGATCCATTACAAAAACACAATCAGACCTCAGAAGTTTTATGGCATTTTACAATGTTTGCATTCTAAATACTGTGGTCTGACTGCCTTTATTTTTTTTTCCTACCAAAGGTCTATTTTTTCTAATCAGAAATGATTTTTTTAAAAACACTTTCAGTATTAATTTATTTTACAGGTTAACTAAACATATTTAAAAACCTACTCTGCCAAATATAATAGTTGACTGATACTATATGTGGTTTCCTGTCTTTAAAAAAACAACAACCCTTGTATATACACAGACCCTGTAGTGTATCACCACCTCCCTCCCAGGAAGCGAAAGCGGGGATGTTGCTTGAGTTCAACTGTCGGATCCATGCAGTCGAGCAGCACCCCTTGTTCTACCAACAGCGTCAGTGTTCTCTTTTCCCTCTTTATTCCACATGCAATTCAAGCTGAGAATCATCCCTAACCCCGAATTGTAAACAAAAACTTAAAATTTTAAGTGCGTCCTTTAACCTTTGAAAAAAAATTAATGATTACTTGTATTCTATATAACTTTTCTGCTGAGTGGGAACTGACTCTGCTGACCTTCCACTCCAGGGGGTTTTCAGAGGCTGTAAATCGCATGGAAGGGGACTGTCCACCATGCTTCTTCAGAGCAGCTGGTGGAGTCAACCACCTGCTTTTGTATTGACAGTGCAATTCTTTCCCCACTAGGCCACCAGAGCTAGAATATATAGAGAATATATATAGAGAGAGAATATATAGATAATTTTATTGAGTAGGTGTTGAACAACGGTCACATATTAGTCCCTGTCTTAAGCTAGGTTACAGGTGTCCAGAAAATGTAAAAGAAATAACAACAACAACAACAACAACAAAAATCCAAAGAGGAATAAGACACAAGGACACTTAACTATAACAAAGTATTGTGAGAAGAGGCAGAATCTATTCATTCTGATCTGAAGATTTAGGGCAAGTTTGACAATGTGATAATAGTTAAACTGACTTTTAAAGATCTGACTGAAACTCCAAGGGACAGGGTTGAATGAGATGGCTTGGCAGGTAGGCGTGAGTAGGAATGAAGGCAGGCATGGTTTAGGAAAAGCACACTGACGGGAACAGAGAGTTTAGGGTGCAGTGAATATTCGAGATAAAGCTAAAAAGGTTAGTTAATGACACTATTTACCTGCTAAGGCTTTTGGACTTTATGCTATAGGTAGTGGCAAGCTGTTGAAAGATCTAAGGAGGATTTATGTAACAAACACTGAAGCACAGCAGTACTATGAAGCAGGTCCTGATGGGAGAGGCACTTGGTAAGGGGTCTGATTTAGGCCAGCAGAAACAGAGCTGTCTGAATAGACTTGAAGGACATTGTGGAGAGGGAAATAGCTTGCTAAGATGGGTTGGGTACCTCACTGAATAGATAAAGGTACACTTCCCATAGTGATGTCTGTACTGTTATTTTACAATAAAAGAGGGCAACCAGATAAGGGACAGTGCCTAGGGCGTGAATGGTAATTAGCTTGGTTTGGGATCATTTCAGTCCTATATGCTTACAAACAGGAGTCATGGTAGCAGTAGGTTACCTATTTGGATGGTAACTGAAAGGCCAGCAGTGTGAAGCCAACAGTAATTCTGGGAGAAAGATGAGGTCATTTCCTTCCATTAAGATTTAGAGACTGAGGATCTGAGGGAGGATTGCTGATGGGGACTGACTCAACAGCGGCTGAGTTTGGTTTGAGTTTGATGCTTAGAAGATACTCCAGGAGATCTGGACAGAGCCATATGTTTGTGTGTATACATATATATGTAAATGCACACACACACACATATATGTATAGATATATTTATAAACTGGTCAACATTCTTCTAAGTGGTATAGCCCTGGTCTGTCCATTTGCTGTACAGAGTTAACTCGTGATTGCTGTGAAGCTGAAGACTGACTCTGATGTTCCAAATACGATAATGGTTACCCATGGTGGACAGGGTTTGGTGGAGCTCCCCCATTAAAACAAGCTTGGAAGCAGGAGTGGCATCCACTTCCAAAATAGCTTGCTTCTGGAAACCCTATGAACTTGGGAGAAATGAAGGAAGTTATTCAAGTGTTCTGGTCCTTCATTCATAGGGTCACTATGAGTCACCTATGACTCGATGGCACTGAACAACAACAACATATATATTAAAGATATATCTATTTAAAATATATATCTGTTAAAGATATTAAAGATATATCCATATTAAAGATAAAGATACAGATATTAAAGATATATTTATTAAAGATAGATAGACAGATAGATAGATAGACACACACATAAAGAATGCAAATCAAACAGATATCAATCTTTTAGAAGAATCTGTTGTCATGAGCCATCAGTACCACGTGGTTGAATACTGAAGAGGGCAGTCGAGTGGTGATACCAACTCTCCCATTCATCTGTAAATAAAGGATCTGGACCAGAAAACTTGTAAGGTCACTTCTAGATCCAAAGGTGTACCTAGTTCATGAGTAAGCTCTCAAATGTTATACGAGAAACCTGTGCTAATGAATTATTGTGTAAACTGAATAAATATTTTATAATATCAATTTATACCCTTTATGGTTCTGGATTTTGCTAATTTGCTTTTCTTAAAGTGGGGCCACCTGCATGGATTACAATGTATATCTTTTTCATTGTCTCCTTTACATTCTACCTTTTGTTTTAAAAATAAAATCTGTTTCTGCTATAGGACTGCTTCTGTGTACCTATCACTGCATAGAATAGCATTTTGTGGGTGAACCTTGAAGGCTACAATTGCCAAAATGAAATATTTACTACTTCCTTCACAGTGCCCAAGAACATAAAGTTTTTATTGAGCAATTATCACAGGCACTGAGGAAATAAAAGCATCAGACCGAGTTTCATATCCATACCCTCTTAAATGTGATGAGTGGTCTGGTATTGGACATATCTGGATTATTTCTGTTTCAGATGTTTTTAGGTAACATCTAGCAATGTAAATTAGTGGCCCAAAGCCCAGGCAATAAAAACATTAGACTAGACCTGAAAAAAATTAGGCAGAAATCCTGAAAAATTTAAAAAGAAAAACAGCAAAACATTATAGTTTGAAAGCGCGGCCATGGCTACTTGGACAACACTCTGCAGAAGTGGATGCCATCTGGCAGAGGGTATCCCGCCTCTTCTTGAATATCTCCAGGAGAAACAGCACTATCTAATGCAACAGCTAATCCCACTGCTGAGCGGCTCCAGTTGTTAGCAAGTTCTGCCTGATACTGATTTGAAATTTGCCTTCCTGACTTTTCCACTTCTTAGTTCTGACCTTAGTAGGTCATATTATTATGTCTCTGCTTGTTATGGGAACACAGGTTGTCACTGGGAGAATTTATAATGGAACAATATTGTTACAGCCTAAATTGCAAATTTATCTTTCCTAGTTATTTTGTTCTCTAGAAAGGATGAAATTTGAGTTGTTCATTGATCATTAATATCATGGATATTACACACACACACACACTATTTCTCTAGTATTTGCATGGTAGAGTTGTTTGTATTGCCAACCCAAAGAAACATGGCTCAAATCCACCAATTACTCTGCAGGAGTAAAAAGAGTAATCCCTTCTTGTGAGACTAAAAACCCACTGGAGGGTCAGTTATGAGTTGGTCCTCACTTTATAGTACTTAATAACAAACAACAAACTTTTATTTATGGTGAAGAGATTGAGATTGTTCACAGCTTTTGTTTGCTTGACTCCACAGTCAACACTCTCAGCACCAGTAGCCAGGAAATTAAAAGACATATTGCCATGGGAAAGCCTGCTGTTAGGAACCTTTCCAAAGTTCTTAAGAGCAATGGTGTTTCTCTGGAGACTAAGATGTGCCTGATACAGGCCATGGTCTTTGCTATCACTTGTTATGCATCAGAGAGTTGTACAATGACTAAGGAGGATAGAAGGAGAATTGATGCCTTTGAGCTGTGATACTGGAGAAGAGTATTGGGGGTACCATGAACTGCTAGGGAAACAAACAGATTCATCCTGGAGGGTTAAACCAGGAGGCTCCTTGGAGGCAAGGATTCTGAGGCTCTGTTTAACATACTTTGGACATGTTGTAAGGAGGGACCGGTCCTTGGAATGGACATCATGCTTGGTAGGGTGGAGGGACAGCGCAGGAGGGGAAGACCCTCTATGAGGTGGATTGATTCAGTGACTGGGGTAATCGGGCTGGGTGTGTCAGAGACAGTGTGCGATTGGCACAGGACAGAGCAGAGTTTAGGGCTGTTGTACATAGGGTTGCTATAAGTCGCAAGTGACTCGATGGCACATAACAACAATAACAACTGTATCTCTATGTCTGTCTCTGTATCTTTCTCCTGTGGAGCAGGTAGTGGATTGGGACTTGCTGTCATTGGGTTGGCAGCACAACTCTTTATCCATTTGGCCACCGGTCTCCCAATATATATAGATATGCATACACGCATGTTGTTGCTGTGTACCATCAAGTTGGAACCGACTTAGAGGTGACCAACCAGCAGGTTTTCAGAGGTAGTTTAGTCACCTGGGAAGTGAATGGCCACCTTTCTCTTGTGGAATAGCTAGTGGATTTGAACTGCATTTCTTTTGAGATTACAGAGCAGTTTTTTACCACCAGGCCCCAAGAGCTCCCTGCACAGGTGTATATGCATACATATAACATATACACACCTATGTATGTAGTTGCTCGGTGTCATTGAATATTTTCTGATTAAAACCACCCCACGTACAAGAGAATGAAGTACTGCTTGGTCCTGCACCATTCTCACATCATTGCTATGATTGAGTCCACTGTTTCAATCCATTGCATTGAGATTCTTCCTCCTTTCTGTTGACTTTGTACTTGACCGAGCTTGATGTCCTTCTTCAGGGGCTTGTTCTGCCCAACAACATCTCCAAAGCATGAGAGATGAAGCCTTGCCATCTTTACTTCTAAGGTGCACACTAGCTCTACCTCATCCAAGACACGTCTGTTTATATTTCTGGTAAATTCTTGACAGATGTAATAATCTTCTCCAACAGCATCATTCAAAGGCATCCATTCTTTGACTCTCCCTGCTCAGTGTTTAGCTTTTGTATTCACTAGGTAACCTAAAACACTACGGTTTAGTCCACATGATACATATATACAAACACACATTGAAGAGGAGTCTGGGTGGCTCAGACATTTAAACAGTAAATCTCTACTTGAAAGGTTGGTGGTGTGAACCTATCCAGAGGGACTTTCAAAGGCAAGCTTGGCAATCTGTTTTTGAAAGCTTACAGCCTTGACAAACCTGTGGAGCACCTTGAACCTGCACAGATGCTGCTGCCTTGAGTCAGAATCAACTCCATGACAACGAGCAAAATATACATTTACAATTTTATGGAAATAAAAGATAGCCCAAAATTAATTTTCATTCTAGTTTTAAAAAATTTGTTTATATCTTCTAAAAATATTTTATACCATGTAACAGCAAATTCTTTAACTGGAGTATGGTGCAAGCTCTTTTAACTAGCCTCCATTTAACCAATTTATTGCATAACTGATGCTCTCGGTCCATCTGAAAGTCTTGGCTTGTGCCCACAGTAGGTGGGAGGGCCACAACCAGGAAGTTATTCACAGTCGTGTGAACAACTGGACCCACTGGCGGAGAAGATAGTCACCAAGGGTCATATCCTGTGCTTATCCTATGACAGGCCTATGTGATTGTATTCTCGATCATAACTGTTGTGGGTCATCAAGCTGGAACCGACCCATAGCTGACCCTCCAGAGGGTTTTCAGGGACAGTAAATCACATGGGAGGTGACTTGTCATCTTTCTCCCACTGAGCAGCTGGTGGATTCGAACCACCTACCTTTGCACTGGCAGCATAATTCCTTACCACTAAACTCATTAGGGACCAGTGCTGCCTAATGTTGATGATAATGGCATAATTTAATTCACTGGTATGTGAAACAGTACAAATAGGAGTAAGAAAATAAGTGTTTTTAGGACATGTCAAATGCTTTAGAAGACTAGATTAAGTTGAGTCAGTAAAAGGAACATTATCAAATTAGCTGTGAATGAAACAGATACAGCAATCTTGGGAGATTTTGAATTCATGTGCTTTGTGAGTACCTGTAAAGTCTTACTCCTCTTGCCCCCTTATTTCTTGAATGTGTGTGTGTGTGTGTGTGTGTGTGTGTGTGTGTGTGTGTGTTTAATTTTACACTGGTTTACCTACAGAGTTCATAAACATTGCTCTCACACCAGATCCCCCCAGCTCCTCAATGCTTCCCCCCATCAAACCATGTGACACATGATCACCCCTCCATTCCAATCCCTCTAATTCTCCCACTTAGATCCTCATACACATTTTACTAGTTACCTATTTCTACAATAATGGTCTTATACAGTATTTGTCTTTATGAGACTGAGTTAGTTCACTGGGCGTAATACTCTCCAGTCCTTCTCAAGTTAGATAGTGATTTACAAAATCATTGTTCCTGCGTGCTGTGTAGTATTCCATCATGTGAATGTACCATAATTTCACAATCCATCTGATTGTGGTTGGACATTCAGGCTGTTTCCATGTTCCTGCAGTGGTAAATATAGTGAACAGAAGACAACATGTAATAAGACAAGATCTCAAAGAACTTGCAAAGTGTGGTGAATGATTGCATATTTATATGTTTAAAGTTAGAAATTGAAAATTTGAAGCCTACATTATATATTCTAGCTTTAATAGCTCTTTTCTATTTAATAATTTACTGGCTCTGATTAAATAAAATAGACCACTTCTGATGTATTCAGAGCCGAACTCAGTCTCTCAGGACACGGCTGGAGAACTGCTCTGAGGAAGATGCTATCATAAGTTAGTCTTGTGGTTTTGTATAATCAACTTTTGGCTAAAGAATATGGCTGCTAACCAAAAGGAAAGTGGTTCAAAGCCATGGGGTGTTCTGGAGGAGAGAAATGAGACAGTATCTTCCACAAAGTTCATAGTCTTGGAACACCTATGGAGCAGCTGCACTTTGTGTGGTGGGTGGGGTTTCTCTGAGTCAGAATTGACTAGGTGGCAGAGTTTGGTTTTTCTTTTCTTAATCAGTCTCTGTTGTTGGTCAACCAGGGTTTTGTTTCTTGTTTCTGCTGCATTTGGCAGCATTAAGATGAAAAGTCTTTTCTCTACGGCACATGGGTTCCAATTGTTGTCAGTGAGCAAACAGCATTCCTTATTTCCAGTAATACTTCTCTTTTCCTAACACAAATGCTGTTGGCTTTTTACCCTCTCTGGGGTTTCTACTCCTATATTTTCTTTTGATTGTTGTAACTATATGTGTAACAAATCATTCTCATTTTCCAAATTCTTCAAGTGTACAATTTACGAACCTGAGTTATATAGATCACAAAGTTCTATGGTCACAATTACCAATCCCCAGATAGCCCCATCACTTCACAGTAGTGCTGCGTCCCCATCCTCAATGTGTCACCATCATCAATGTTTCTGAATCAGGAGCTCATCACCTAATTCCACAAACCTCACATCTGTTTATTCAATAACAGGAAAACAATGTGCATGGATAAAAACGTTTGCATTTTATATCTTACTTGCATAGACAGTTTAGTTTATGCTTGTATACAAAAAGAAAATGCCCTCTAGAGAAGGTATAAAAGCTTCAACTGAGAATGAAGAAGAAAGTAAAATGTTTTATGTTTCACTTTGGCCCTTGGCTTCCTTAAAATGCAACCAAGTGAGGGGGTGATCTGCACATTGATTAATTTGTCTAGAAAACTGTCAGCCCTTTCAATTCATTAAGTGATGACATAACCTAAATAAAATTTTTAATTAATGTAAACACAGTGACTCCCTAGCCCAAACTCTGGAAAAACACCTTAGGAATTCCAAGTAGGCTATAGCTCCTGCAAGGCCTATAAGTTGTTTTAAATTGAGAGAAGTGTCAAGATACCTTTCTCTGAGGACTGTACAAGGATTATGCAACTGAACGAGATGATGCCATATTAAGCCCTGGGCTGAAAGCTGTCTACATTTTAAGCAATCTCCAGAAAGTGTTCTCATAATTTTGGATGCTTTACTCTACTCTGGGCCTCTCTGGATTGGAAAGCACATTAGAGGCCAGCTAGTCCAAATTGTCATCACCAGCCCAATAGTACTGATAAAGCAGGCACGGAAAGTGCATGGAAGCATCCGAGACAACATCGTGCCAGAACATTTGGTCATTTCTTACCTCACTCTCTGAGTGTCTCAGTCAAGACTGTGGAAGCCCAAGGCCCTGAGGAGACGTCCGCTGACACAGTGCCACTGTGACTTACCTCCCCTGCCACAGTCCACTGTGACTTACCTCCCCCACCACAGTCCACTGTGACTTACCTCCCCCGACACAGTCCACTGTGACTTACCTCCAGAGGCCCGGGATCGGCATTGCCCAGTCATGGGGCTGTACTCCTGGTTTTCATCCTCGCATACACACAGAAACGACCCTTCCACATTTTCACAGAAGGCTTCGCCACACACGCCACTGAGCAGTTCACACTCGTTCACATCTGGAAAACGGAGCATGGGGTCAATTCAGATGTGTGCCTCTTTCCTGAGAGTTCTTTCTTTTACCAGCTGTGCCAAGGCTGGTTGTGCCTGCTGGAAAGGGGGGGATTCCCAATGAGCAATCCAGTCCCTCTGCTATTTTAGGGAAGGGTCTCCAGCAGGCAGGGGTACGCATGAAAGGACCATGAAAATGCAAAGTCAAGGTTCTAAATGCCCATTCTAGTTTGAAGGCACACACTGAAAGCATTATATATACCCTTCAACCTTTTATTTCTTGACATAATAAAGTCTTAAATGGTCCAATATACAACTCTCAGTTCTGAATTCAAGGATAATTAGACATTGTTAACTCAGAAATGACCGCATTCTTTACAATTTAAAATATTTTTTAAAATGTTATAAAATTTACTCAATTGTCTAAAAATTGTTTGCTAATAGCCAAAATGTCCATAATTTAAGTCATAACTGAAGCTGTACATCCCTTTGAGAATATTAATCATGCTACAGTAATCATACATCAAACAAATTAGTATAAAATAACATTGCTTATTTTACCTTTTGAAATTCTGTTGACATGCTTTATTTAGCTAAACGATTTTATTTTATGCATAAATATATTAAAACATAGGCATGGCATTTCACTGATACATGTTTAATTAAAAAACTAAACAATTTCTGGACCCTAAAGACTGATTTTATGCTCGACCATGTCCAATAATTTTTACCTTTTCACCTTCTATGAAACGTTATTATTGAGTGCCCAGTTAAGTAAGCCAGTGCCTTATTTGGCATCCAAAACAATCATGAAATTATACATTTTATACAAATTATCAGTTTCATAGGCACACTCTGGGATAGTTCACAAAAAATTAAGAATTTGTGCAAACAATTTAGGAAAGGGGAGAAAAATGCCATTTTTACCTGCTCAATCCACTTAGTTGGGCAAAGAAAGCTTATATATGTTGATTTATTTAGAAAATTACCTCAGTTTTCCATTTCACTTTGTGTATAAACAGATATAAATTCAATGAGCTGCATTTAGCTTAGGAAATGACATTGCAACATAAAGTAAAACAGAGACAGGGTGTATTGAATCAACCTAGACAGTCATAATTTAGAAAAATGGATTTTAGAATTTTGCCAATTCACATTTATCAATTTTAGGTAAATGTCAAGTGGAACAGTGTGCTTTCCAACTTGTATTTCTTACACAGCTGTGAAGATGTAGCCCATCAGATGGCCCTTGTTCCATCAAGATCTATTTTCTAGTTGCCGTTTTAGGAGGCAGCCCCTGATGAGACAGCAGTGAGTCTGGCTGGGCCTCCCACCCCCGTCCCCCGCCTGCTTTCACAGAACTTGTAGTCAAGTCGGTGGAACAGACCAGAGTATTTCCAAGCAGTGCAGGCGCCAGCAATGAAATATGCAGACCACAAAGGTTGTGATTGGTTAAGATAGTGACACTGGAAACAAGATCTCAAAGATTAGTGCAGACGGGAAGGAGGAGGAAGCAAAAGCAAGAGCTGAGGATGAAAAACGAACAACGCTGGTCTCATGGCTACTCAGCCCTGACATTGTACATAACACATGTGGACATCAGAGTACAGCGATGCACTACACAGTGTTGTGTACTGTTGGGTTGGAACCAACCCACAGCTGACCCTCGGAGGATTTTCAAAGGCAATAAATTGCATGGTAGGAGGTTGTCCATTCTTCTCCTGCTGAGCAACTGGTAGATACAAACCATGTACCTTTGCATCGGCAGTGCAATTCCTTACCACTAAGCCACCAGAGAGGAAGACCCTCGATGAGATGGATCAATTCAGTGATTGTGGTAATGGGAGTAGGTGTGTCAGAGACAGTGAGGTTGGCACAGGATAGAGCAGGGTTTAGGGCTCTTGTACATAGGGTCTCTGTGAGTCACAAGTGACTTAATGGCTAACAACACAACAAGCTACCAGAGCTACTGATCATATGAAGCTTGGGGGATTTAAAGAAGGTGGCTACTTTCTGTACAAGCACATAATTAAATTATCCCCCCCCCCCAAAGGTTGTTAAAGTGCCATAATGGATACTGGCTTAAATACATAATGGAAATGGGAGGAGGAGCCATAGGTCAGACTGAAAATGAGATCGGGGGCAGCATCTTGGAGGAGAGGACACTTAACTTCAGTTTTTAAGAGCGAGTGGGATGAGTCCAGGGAAGGAAAGGGAAGGTTGGGGGTGTATTTCCAGCGCAGGAGTGGAAAAAGCAAATATCTGTAAATAACTGCACAGTTATAAGAGCAACAAAAAGCAGCCACATTGTGTTGCTAGAAAAACAAGGAAAGAAGGAAAGGCAGGGAAGGCCATTAGAGGCCCTGTGACCTATCAGTAGTCTGAATATTAAGCAAACATCATACATTCTATCAACTGTACTGGATGAAAAGGGGATTGGAGTGGGAGTCTGAACCAGAGATTAGGACAGTATTTCCTATATTATGAAATAACCATGTCTTCTTATTGTGACTAATTCTTTATTTGTAAACAAGAGGATATGGCTGTAATTTCTGTGTCCTTTTAACATCCTGAAGTATAACTTTTCAGCTGCATGCACTTGGCATCAAAATAATGTTTGCTTCTTTCACTCAAGTATCGAGATCTTCTCTTTGTTCTCGTTTCAGTAGCAAGCCCAGTGTCTGGGACATTTATAGCATATAGTAGCTGCTCACAAACAGCCACAATGAACTCTACTGGCTCTCCGTTTTGAGTTTTGTCTTTTAGAATTCAGTTATTAGTCAAAAAAGTAAAAAAAAATGTAGATTTGAAAGTTCAAAATTTGAAATAGCTAATAGCACTGGTCTATGCGTTGCTGTACAGAGGCAACTCGTGGCTGCTGTGATGCTGAAGCCTGTGACAGTGATGTGCCAATCGTGGTAATGGGCACCCATGGTGGACAGTGTTGGCTGGAGCTTCCCGACTAAATCAAGCCTGGAAGCAGGAGCGGCATCCACTTCCAAAATGGCTTGCCTCCGGAAACTCTATGTACCAACAGTGCTCAGGCTGTTCATTCATAGGATCGCTATGAGTCGTCTACGACTCGATGGCATTAAACAACAATAACAACAAGAGAAAAACATCTTTTCTATTCTATTCTTTGATTTGGCTTTTCCCTTAGTCATTTGAACAAAGGAAAAGGTATTCTTTTCTTAAAGATAAGAATATTAGCAATTCTACTAACTGCTGAGAGAAATCATCCTGTGACCATTTCATGACAGGAAAGTCTGGAGCTGGAATGAGACTTAGAAGGTGTAAACCTTTAACTTTTTTAAAGGAACACTTGCCCCTTTTCAGGTAGAGCAGTGTGTAATGGTTGTTAACCAAAGGGTCGGCAGTTCAAATTTACCCGCTGCTCCACAGGACAAAGGTGGACATTCTCCTCCAGTGAAGATTTTATAGCCTTTATATAAAATCTTCTCTTTATCCTCTTTATACAAATCTTTTTTCTATACTATAGTTGTAAATCATTTTTATTTTTGACCTGGAAAGAATTACATTTTATAATTAGGTGCATAAAGGCAATTATATAGTTAAGTGATATTATCATTAAACCTCTGAATAGACTTAATTTTCCAGTTTAGTCTGGATGGCAAATGAACTAATCTTTTAACTGCAAACTTTCAAAGTAAAAATTTACTGACTTTTCCCCATCTGCCATCTGCCATGTATATAAACCGTCTGCCATGTATTTCTATTTCCACTCCATCCCCTGGAAACTCCAGTCCTGAGCTCAGAAATGGAGGCAGAGGGCAAACAGGCCCTATTAGTGCTGGATAGCTCCCTCTAATTAAGAACAAGATGGCCTTGTTTTCTTCTGTGACATTATGAATTTAATAATCTTTCTTCCCTTCTCTACTTAACTGCTCTAAGAGAAAATGTGTTTCATAACGAATTTGATTTAGAGATACCACAACTAAACAGAAATCTAAAAGTGCAAAATTTCTTCTTGTACGTGCGAATGTGCTGGACCATATTCTAGAATGTCTGATGGTATTCACTATTTCCTTCCAGCCTCGTCAATACCAGGACAGACTGAAGAAATACAGTCCAGAGCGTCATTTTATGGGTGCCATTCCTGGAAACTGAAGATCCTGCCAACACCTTTCTCTAAATGCACTGCCTGAGAAGGTGTGTTCTGAAGACAGACGAGTTATACCACACGGCAGACTCTATTTCCTGTGCAGGACGGACTCCGGAGGTCCCCGTAGTTGGCTGAACACTTAAACAGATGTTCTTTTGAAAATAAACTTAAAGTTATACTTCCATACTTCTTAATGTGTCACACCATTTCAGAAACCATCAGTAATTTCTACACATCCCAAAATTGTTTGACAAAATAAAAGTAATGAAATTCTTGCCACATTGTCTTTCATAATTGCTCCCGTGTGGATCACTTTGATTTCTTATCAACAGGGAGGTGTGGAATATTTGGGGGGAAATATCTAAACACTCACCCACACACCCTTGCCCATCCTGCGGGGCCTGAAAGCCCTGATAACAGAGGCAGCGGAAGGAGCCAGCCGTATTGTCACAAAACCCGTGACTGTCACAAATAGTGTTGTTTACACATTCATCAATATCTGCAAAAGAGACATTTGACATGAGGCACAAAACAAACACAGGTTGACAAACACCAGATATTAATGATGGAAAGAGGTGTTCCACTCATTCTGATTAGTATGAGATGATCATATTTATGCAGGAAGTACTTGAAAACATTTTACAAATAAATAAAATGTTTTAAAGGAAATGACTTTGCAGTGAAAATGAAGGAAAACATTTACTTTTCCTCAGGAAATGTTTTCGAACTGAAACAACCACCACAATTGCCACTGTTGGTGTTTTGTAAATGTTGTCATCTCTATTTCCAAGGACAGCAGATTCCTATGGGGAAAACACTGAAAAATATAGTCACTCTTTCTGGTTGTGGTAAAGACAAGTAGTTCTAACTGTAGAGTTGTAGCTCGAAGAAGCTCTGGGCTCCTTGGACAATCTCAAGGATTATTCAAATCTTTGGTTGACTCTGATAAAATCTAAGCAGCAATCGAGTGACAGAGAGTAGGAGACTCTGGTAAGCTCCACAGTGTAGCCAGACAATCCCAATCAGTCACAAGACAATTCTTTCTGTCAACAAATGACAATCACTCAAGGTCCTGAATATCAGTGCTGACAAGCCAGTGCTAATTAGCCAGTGGCCAATCTGTGACTCATCTTGTTCTTTGTAAACATGATGCTCAAGGGGTCCTGCTAGAATTGATTTCTGACTGAAAGGTTGGTGGTTGGCATTCACCAGATGCTCTGAGAGAGAAGCATGAGCACTCCCTTCTCTGTGAAAATTTACAGCCCTCGTCATTATAAGGTGAAACTGATTCAGCAGCAGTGGGAAAGTGGGGTAAACATGATGAGAAACACTGATCCTGATTCTTTTGTTTCCACTGAGAAAGATGGGATAAATTATGTATAATGCATTGAAACAGATGAGGGAGAAAACTGTTTAAAAGGATATGGGATTAGGTATTATTGTCATGATAGGAGTCCAGATGAAGGCTGCATAATGGAGTGGACCTGGGGGGGAGGGATTGTAAAACAATGAAAAAATTTTTCTTCTACTTTTCCAAGAGAAGAGTGTACTAGGGGGTGGGTGGGCAGGAAGAAAAGTGCAACAATGAATGAAAGGAAATCCAAAGACTGAAGATTTTCATTAAAATTAATAATAATAATAATAAAATTTTTAAAAATGTTCTCATAAAAATTATGTCTCTATTACTAGGCTATATCCATCTGGGAGATATAATCCTTCTATTCTGCAAAAAGTTGCAAATTTTCTTCCCATTTCTCTCTTTAATCCTCTTAGTTAACTGCCACAATTTACACTTTCATCTGTCATGCTTTTTGATTCCTCTGACTTTGGTTGAACAGTTCTGAAATACATGTTTGGAGAAGCAGTGAAGAAAATGTTACGAAAGCATTAAATACATGTAATGCAAAAACTATAGTCAAGATAAAGAAAATGAAAATGCACTTGACAGTTTAGTTTGAAGAGAGTTGACAGTAATTGTGTCAGTCTTCTAAAAAAAAAAGAAAAATCATCAAAGTCAGACCCCAAAATTACTCTAAAAGAGAAAGAATAGACAAACAATTATTTTTAGCGTCATAACACTTTCTTTCCTGTTTTTGCAATTCTGTCTCACTTTTGAATGGCAAAATAGGAGCAACTCCACTGAAGTTTTCCTAATTCCCTCAAATCAAAGTAAACTGTACCTCTGTCAACCCAATCAAACCCTTCTGTCCTCTAGTCCCATCCTGGCTTCTTCAACTGTTTTTCTCCTGGTTCTTTCCTTCAATGCCTTGAGTAATTCTTGAAAAAGTTTTTGTGTGACTATTCAGATATTCTAGTTCATATACTATCCTAACTCCTTCTACCACTGTAAAATGTCCCAAAAGAATGGCCTCTTTCATTGCTGTGACTTCCTAATACTAATGGAGGAGAGTAATAGTGATAATGTCATTGATATGTTCTCAGAACTATTGTGAGGTTTATAAAAATAACATGAACATGGATGTTCATTGAAATGAAAAATAAACAACCTAAATTAAAAAAAAAAACATGCACTAAAAGCTCTGAATGCTGCCTATAGGAAATAGTCAAAACACATGAAAAATATTATACTTATTTGTATACATTTATTCAGGAGCTCTGAGGGTGTAGTCTATAGGAAGTTGTGCTGTTAACCCAAAGGCAGACCCTCTGGCAGTTTGAACCAACCAGTGCCTCCAAGGGAGAAAGATTTGTTGTTGTTAAGTGCTGTCAAGTCGCAGGGGACTCACAGCGACTCTATGAAGGAGAATCCTAGACGCTTGGGTGCCTTTCATCCTCTCAAGGGAGAAGGAAGAGGGGGTAATCTCTTTCTGTGCAATTTATAGGCCCTGAAAATCTACTGGAGAATCAACTAGGAGGCAGGTCTGACTCAATGCAAGGAGAGATAGATAGATAGATAGATAGATAGATGGAAACAATTTGAATGAAGGGATGTGGGAAGCACAATGTACAAGAATGAAACAAAATGTCTAAGAATCTTTTATGCAAAACCAATATTTTTTAAAAGGTAAAAAAATAAAAGATGTGCTTTGTAGTACCTTCCTTCCTACACCAAGAGCAGATTTAAAGGCCCCCGGCTTGTGCCCCCAAACAGTTTGTGCTCGGCTGTGCCTGTCACGTTATTTCACATGGTAAGCTTCAACTGAACTCCACCTCCAGTTTATTTCCCTATCAAAACAGGAAAGAAGGGAGCACTGTAGGAGAGGCTTGTAGTAAGCTGAACAGCCAACCCAAAGACCATGTGTCTTTGCAGTTGAAATTTACCATTGGCGTCACGTGGGAAAGATGGGCAGTCCCTCCTCCCACGACTGACCATGCTGGAAACCCGGTGGATGGTCACTGTGAGAACTAACTTAATGGCAGGGAGTTTGATTTTTGAATTAAAACAGGAAGGAGCTTAGGAAGGGAGAGTAACCACTAGCAATCTGATGGTTTTCTGGTCCAGATGTGTGAAGTAAAATCTCTTGCTTTTCTTTATAGTGATTCTACACAATTTTATGTTCTATTAAATTTTCAATTCCACACAACTGTATCAGATAACAATTTCTTGCTATCATCCACAGGAAATGAACAGTTGACCTGAAGGCACACAGTTCCTACTATCACACTAGAAATCTAATTAGTAGAGATACTGCATGTCCACCAGTTAAATGCTTTTCAAAGGAGGTTCTCAGGAGAAAAGTCAGACACAAAAGAAGTACGGGTTACAGGAGTTTATAGAGCTATGTCTAGCACTGGTGCAGGATGAACCTCACCACAAAAATGAAAATGCCTCACTACTTCAGTCCATGGTTTCACCAACTAGAACTGGTTAAATATTCGGTGCCAGAATCTTAGGAAAACTGATCCAAAAGAGAAGGGGCTTACACTGGGAGGGATCTAGGGTTCCTGCTTCAGGGAAAACACAGCCCTCCCATGCCTTACTGAAAGGAACGGAAGCCAAGCAGGAGACGATAAATCCCAGCCAAGATGTGGAATTGAAAGATGTTAAACCAGTTGAATAGCTGCCTAAAGGAATTTTCAAATGGCATGGCTGCTGGCCCAAAAGAGATTAAGGTCTCTCACAACACAAGAGGAGAGCCAGTGTTGAATGGGAGATGAGCACATGGCCGAAAGGAGCAACAACAAAAAGAAATCTAGCCAAGAGACCTTCCAATCAGGATCTGGAGGTGATCCATACAATACAAGATGATGTGGAAAGTCTTTTAAAAAAGACCCACTGAGGTCTGGCCACAGCAGCAAAACTGGAGAAATATGGGCCTCACGTGTTATAAAAAATAACTTTTGTTCTGGGAAATGGTTGTGAGCCAGAGAAACCAAGGGATGAATTCATGCCTGTGCGCAGTCTGATTACCATGTGTTAGCTGGGCAGAGAAAGGAAGGAAAGGATGCGGGCAACCTGGATGGTCAAAAGACTATTTTCAAAAAGACTATTTTCAAAACTAGCAGTCTAAGAAAAGCAATCAGAAATAAAGAAGGTAGAAAGTTACCACTCATTCAACTTTCTACTATAACAACTCCAAAAACCAAGGCTGGCCAATGAAAACAAGTTTCCCTAGTCTTGAAACTCACGTTCCTTTGACTACTGTTTCAAAAAGTACCCAGACCCATCTCCCATTTGTTCCCTGTAAGCAGTTATAAGTTCCAGAGAAATGAATCTAAAATTCTGTTGCAATGTTAACCAATTTTATGTGGACAATTTATATTTGTTGTTGTTGTTGTTGTTATAGCCATCGAGTCACTTGTGACTTATGGCGACCCTTTGTACAAGAGCTCTAAACATCGTTCTATCTTGTGCCAACCTAGCCATCTCAAACGCACTCATTCCCACCACTCCAGTCACAGAATTGATCCATCACATCGCAGGTCTTCCTCTCCTTTGCCGCCCCTCCACTCTTCCAAACATGATATTCCACTGGAAACTACCTTTAAAATTACAAATATCATTCTAGTCTTGCTTAAAAAAGACGGATGTGTGTGTATCATCTTTGATTGCCTCCCAATATCCAATTTTTTCTCTTTATTACATCCCCATCTCTCTCTTTCTTGACAAACTTAGTAAAAGTCTTTGCATTTTAATGAGTAGGAAATTTCCCAAATTTTCTCAATGACCTCCTAACTGGATTTAGTCATTTTCTACTCATTGCCAACCAAAATCTGTCTTCCATAATGACAGAATGATTCACCAACTGAAATAATCCAATTAACTAAGAGCTTAAAACCCCTTCATCATTTTCTTCATGGATAATCTATAAAGGTCACGGCTATGTGTTCTCTGGAGTTCATCTACATGTTACCTCTCAAGGAATCTACTCTTCTACCTCTTCCTTACCTCACTACTGGTCATTCTATCAGGATGAGACATCTGCTATCTCTATCTTTATATATATATATACACACACACACACACACATGTGTGTATATATATATATATATATATGTATATATGAAATAAAGAAAATTCATTACACTGCAATCTTC